CACCTCTGTCAGAGTGCAGACGCAGGACTGGAAGGTCCGTGTCAAACCGCTCGCGGAGCTGGAGACGGACAGCGCGGATCCAAGGGATCAAGACATCAGGGACCTCCCCCTTGTTACGCAAGGGGAAGACCGTGGTGTAACGCGATTAGTCATCAACAACCAGTAGAAAGTATCGCTCGCGGCCCTGTCCCTGGACGCTGGCTGGGCCCCACACGTCCATGTGGAGAGTCTGCAGGGAAGCAGTCGTCGGGGGAAACGAGGAGGAGTGAGGAGCGGCGTGCTGCTACCCCTCGACACAGGGAAGGCAGGGAGGGGCAGGCGAGGGTGGGAGGGGAGGCAGAGATCTGGGAAGACCAGAGACAAGGAGGTGGGAGTGCATGCCACGGAGGCGTGGCAGGGAGGGGTGACCAAGGCGGTGGTGCCAAAGGAGAGTCTGGTGCGACAGGAGGTGACACGAATAGGGGGCTGCTAGCTGACCTGACGCGGACGCAGATGTAGCTACCTGAAGAGGCTCAGTAGTTAGTGTGTACAGGCTCGACCTAGGTCGACGGGTGAACGTGGCCAGGTGACAGGCCCGTCCGCGCACATGTGCAGATCACCACACGCTGTCCTCCAAGGGTAAAGGTGTCAACCCAAGCATCCTGAAGGATGGCGTTACTCACCAAGTTTGTAGAAAACGAGGGGAGGTGAAGACCTGACAGTGAGCCAGACGGAACAGCCGGACACGGGAGAACAGTGAAGGAACGTGCAAGAACCAGGCCCCCAGAGGGGTCAGCCAGAGAGAATGCAACCAGTGCAGTGGTGTGACTGTGGTGCTGTCGCGAAAGGATACATGGCAGTAAGGATAGCGTCATAGTACAGAGCAAAGATATCCACACCGTGCCTACGCAGCTCTAGACAGCGGGGGTGTGAGAGTATGATGGCTTATGCTGGCTTTGCTAGCTTGCCTGGACTTTGTTATGCTATTACTAGCTTGGGTTTATTTTATCATGCATATTTATGCTTGATTTCCTAGCTTAGGTGCATTCCTATATTATATTATAGTTATAGCATCGAACCAAGTTACGTGCACCGAACTCAAGCCTATTCGGTTTCCACCGAATTGATTTCTACAAAGTTTGGAAAGGTTCTGTTCGGGACGCTTCGCTGACCCTCGGAACATTCGCGTAACACTTGGGTAACTGGCCTTGTGTCGAGCCTATATATAGCCTCCTCTTGTACCCTAGTGGATCATTCAATTCAAACCCACTTTTCTAAGCTCGATCATAGATCCTCACACTTGGTAATCAAAGCCTGTTTGCAAGCGAAGTTTTTCAACCGCTAAAACCTAGCTTTTAAAGCCGCGAGGGCGACAAAGGAAAGCACCGATTTCGGGTACGTAAACCAATTCCGCGCAATTTTTTAAGGTCCCCATCGAACCGGTTTTCGAACACTCCTCAGGTCCAGTGGCAAAAAAGTTGGAATTTCGACCGTCAGATCGATTCGAATCTCAACGGCCTTGAGAATTTCACCCCAAAAAAGTTGGAATTTGGAGCGTCATATCGAAATTCTACTCAACGGCCGAGATCGGACGCGAATTTCGACTTAGAGAGAATTACGCGATCTACAGAACCAGCGCTCGTTATTGCTACAGTCGATTCTGTGAGAATAAGAACGATGAATGAATTGACTAGGAATGAGAAAGGTACAAGTATGAAACCCTAGAAAAGCTGTACCCCCTATTGTCTACCCCACTACAGCCTACACAGGCTATATCATATATGTGTGACACACCCCCATAGGCAAAACTAGTGCCGCATGCTGGTCTTGTCCAGCCTGCATTGTTGGTCGGGCTGGCCTGAGGCTTTCGGGTTGAGCAATGGCCGACCTTTGGCCGTCACAGAACTAGATTCTTGCCAGGTTGGCTTGGCTCGTCCGAGCCAAGTAGGCTCGTCATGAGCTAGGATAGCCATGTATTTACAATAGGCTCATGACCACTCCCTTGACGGACCTAGCTATTCCAATTTGCTTCATATACTATGCTGATGGATTGCGGTCATATACTATGGAGTAGTTCGTTTGCCTCTAATTCAAAACGCTCCCACAGTTTCGGTGCACTGCATTTGAAAGCTCGCAGACTTGCAGGAGTTTGTGAAGTGGAATTCTGTCTTATCCCACATCATTTTGCTCTTCATTTCCCACTCGCATAGCTCGTGTGCTGTGCGCCCATCCATGTGCCCTTTTCCATTCTTCTTTCAAAGACCATCCCAGTTCCTTGCGTTCCCTCATGCCACAACCTAAACTACGTTTCCCCAACTACTTACATTCCCCTCCACCCCCCACCCTCCCTGCTTCCAGCGAAGGCTGCTTGTTCTCCTCCGTGCTCCCAACAGTGCTCTCCACCTGATGGGATCTCGACCCATCGAACCCCCGTGGGCCGCCATGCCTGCTATACTCGTCTCTTCTTTTTCTCATCCAATTCCCACAACACACAATGCACAGGGATCTCTCATCCAATTCCCTCAGTGGCAACATATTCAGTGACTTTGAATTGCTTGATCGCCTCAACTATCTGTACGTTGTTGTTTGGCCCTCCACAGTCTGTTTCAAAGAATTCTGAGAGCGTGATCAGCTAATGACTACAAACAGATCTAGATCTATCAACTCACTTCCATTAGCGCTTTGTGGCCCCTCCACACCCCAGTTGCCGTTCCTAAGCATTCTGGGACGACCTGTGACCAGTTCAGTGGTTTGCCAACACCATGCATCTTCTCTCAGTAGTTGTTTCCCAGTCCCGTTGGACCAACCCGCCATACATGGTTCAATCATGTGTTGTTGCGTTGCTTCATGTAGATGGATGCACGGCGCTGCGTTGCTGTGTGCAGGAGGCTAGGCTAACTGAGATTTCTCCTGTACTTTTCATCCACCCCTTGTGACCAGAAACCTTTCTGATAATGATCTCAGCGGTGAGATTCCAGCTGAGATTGGAGGCTTCACTTTATTGAAGTACTTGTAAGTAGGCTTGAGCAAGTATGAAACCCGAACGAACCTTGTAAGAGGCTTGAGCAAGTACCAAAGCCAAACTGATCTTGTAATAGGCTGAGCAAGTGGGCTTGAGAAAGTGCCAGAACCGAACCGAACTTGTGAGTATGCTTGAGCAAGTACCAATCTGGAATAAACTTCTAAGTATGTTTGAGAAGATACTTAACTGGAACTGAACCCGTGAGTAGGCTTCAGCAAGTACCAAAGCTGTACAAAAAAAAGTAAGCAGTGTGATATATACTTGACATGGGTGGGCCATAAAGAGCACTCTTGCAGGATTAGTAGAGTCTTGCAGCTTTTCGCAGCTTACAAAAAAGTGTACGTGCAGTTGTGCCCATGAGTTCCGCCTTTCCATTTCCCGTTTCCACTGCAGTGACGTCTCTGGCACCAACCTCGTATGCCCACCTGACTACTCCGCCTGTGGCACAACACAATCTCCCAACGCAGCCTTTTGTGGCACATGTCAATCCTTCTGCAAGACTTGCTACCAATCTGCAGGCAAGTAAATAAACATCAGCAAAGTACGGTCTCAAGAGTCGAAACTCGATGCATGGAGGAAGGCATTTCAGAGTACAGCAAGCAATGCGTGGCAAGGCATGGCAAAAGACAAGGCAATGCACGGACAAGGCATGTCAATGCATGGCACAAGGCATGGCACAAGGCATGGCACAAGGCATGGCACAAGGCATGAGCACAAGGCATGAACACAAGGCATGAGCACAAGGCATGAGCACAAGGCATGGCACAAGGCATGGCACAAGGCATGAGCACAAGGCATGAACACAAGGCATGAGCACAAGGCATGAGCACAAGGCATGAGCACAAGGCATGGCACAGAGCATGGGACAATGCATGGCACAAGACATGACACACACACAGCGCATGGCACAATGCATGGGCACAAGTCAAGGGACAAGGCGTTGCACAATGCATGGCACAAGCCATGGCACAACGCATGGCGCAATGCATGGCACAAGGCATGGCAGAATGCATGGGCACAAGGCATGGGACAAGGCATGACACAATGCTTGCCCGAATTATTAAAAAGCACCTCACCTACTTTGGACAATAAGAGGGGTGTAGAGTTTTCTCGCATTGCGATCATGCAAAATTACGATCAATCTATGCTCTCTTACCGCGGAGCATCACCCTTCTGATCGTTTTTTACGCACTTGCCTGCTTGGCTGAACGTTTATTGCTCACACGTTATAACGCCCTCTTGACAACTCTTCTAGTTATAACCTTCATGCAGTCCCCACTGCAACTCTTCCTCAGCAGGAGGTGCGGGTACAGTGTCATTGGGCGCCATCATTGGCATTATTGTTGCCGCTATGGTCATTCTCCTACTTCTTGGTGCAGCTCTGCTTTACTTCACACACAAAATCAAGCTGAAACCACAAGGTAGGGAGACAAAGCAACCAGAAGAGTTCATTCTGAATAACCAAACCCTGTCTTGTTTCAACCATGGCGATAAGTGAGGAGCTAGTTCTCCGATTGCATGAACTTAGACATCTGCATGCAAGTCTGCAAGACTAATCATGCTCGACTCGACAAAATCCAGCAGCCGAAACCGAGCTCTCAAATCTCTTGCCATGAAATGAGTGAGATCGACTCCCCACTAACAGCGTGGCTTGGTGCATGCATTCACTTCAATCCCCAGCGTACAGGCCTGTATGCATGGCCACACAACTCTGGAACTTAAGTGGCACAAGGTGTTGAGGCAGTAGATGGTCTAAATCTCAGTTTCCAGGTTTTGGAGCTGCAAAGATTCGTAGAGGCTCTGTGTAGAATATCCCGTGAACTGATTGGCACGCCGCAAATCAATTCCCTAGAATGTTGGGCCAAGTCATGGGACTCGACTCGTCACATGATTCGACTGAGGCCGGCCGAACTCGACCTGACTCGACTCCACTCAACTCGTGCCCAGGCATTTTCCCCTGCACCTATGCACCTCCTTTCACATATGACCCCACGAGCAGGCTCGGGGAGCAGCCTGGCATCCTCGCACTGCACCGAATTCTCACTAGCAGAAGTCCTCAAGGCCACCAACGACTGGTCCGAGGACAACCAGCTGGGCTCGGGTGCCTTTGGCGATGTGTACAAGGGTGTGTCTCCCCGCGATGGCATTACCATGTGGGCTGTCAAGCGCGCCAAGCTGATCGACGTGGACTTTCAGAAAGAGGTCAGTGAGTGAGCTGCACATGTGAAGGTTGCAAATTTTATTGCACTGGTATGTTTTGTCAGTGAGCCATGGTGAACCATGGTGAGCCGTGATAAGATGGCATGTGTCAGTGACATCATTTTCAATCCCACGTCTAAGATTTATATGCTCTATTGAAATGTTACATTGCCATGATCTCTTTTGCTGTTCAACTAATTATAGATCGTGTCTTCAATGCTGGTAAATTTAGGACATTCCCTTGGCTGCTTCTCCATTTGTTCTGTCATCCCTGATCATATTTGTTTCTTTTCCTCTGGCTGTGTGGATCAGATCCAGCAGATGGCCGACAAGAACCATCCCAACATTGTGAAGCTCCTTGGATTTGCGATCGGAGGAGACTTGAGGACTCGGCCAGAGCAAGTTCTGATCTATGAATATGTGCCCAATGGCGACCTTCACAGATGGATTGGTCCAAGTATGCGTGATACTCCTCCAGCGTGTTTTTTGCTGTGCCACGCAGATGGCGTGCTGTGCCGCGCAGATGTTGTGTCATAAATATGCCGTGCAATTATATGATGTGCCACTTATGCTGCACATCCTTGCAGAGGCAACCTGTGCTTTGTCATTCATGCTCTGCCACTCACGCTTTACCACCCATCCTCTACCACCCTTCCTCTATCACTCATCCTCTACACATCCTCTGCCACTTGTCTGCTGCCACTCGTCCCCTGTCATTCATCCTCTGCAATTCATCCTCTGCCACTCATGCTGTGCCAATCATATGCTGTGCCAATCATATGCTCTGCCATTATATGTTGTGCCAATCATATGCTGTGCCATTATATGTTGTGCCAATCATATGCTGTGCCATTCGTCCTTTACCATTCATCCTTTTCCACTCATCCCCTGCCACGCGTTTCTTGCAGAGGCATCCTGCCCTCTGACTCTGAAGCAGCGGCTGGACATTCTCATCGGCTTGGCACGGGGCTTCGAATACCTCCACGGCTTTGGCATCGTGCATCGCGACATCAAGCCTGCCAACGTCCTCATCACCAACAGCATGCAGGCAAGCTTGGTCGTCGTAGTGGATCCTGTCTAGTGAAGATGATATATATATATAGATATACATATACATATATATATATATAAGTTTGAACAAGGGGTCATTGGCACAACACTACACCAACTATGGCTGGAATGTCTTTCAACTTCATATATCGTTTCTCACAGCAACCATTTACTCAGCCCACTCACAAACCCTTTTACTTACATTTCATGCTCTTTTGTGGATGGCATCACAAGCGACCAGAGTTCTCACTGAGTGATTAATTCCTCATGCTACAATGCCGTCACCAGGTGAAGATTGCCGACTTTGGTCTGCTGAGGATGGGGGAGGGCACAACCGTGGGCACAACGCGCATCATGGGCACACCGGGCTATGTGGATCCGGTCTACTCCATCACGTCCAAGGCCACTGCAGCCAGCGATGTGTACAGGTGAGGCAGTGATGTGTACAGGTGGGCCAGTGAGGTGTAGAGGTGATCATTGCAAAGGCCCTATGGGGATCCAGTCTACTCCAAGGCACCGCTGCCAGCGATGTGTGCAGGTGGGCCAGTGAGGTGTAGAGGTGATCATTGCAAAGGCCCTATGGGGATCCAGTCTACTCCAAGGCACCGCTGCCAGCGATGTGTGCAGGTGGGCCAGTGAGGTGTAGAGGTGATCATTGCAAAGGCCCTATGGGGATCCAGTCTACTCCAAGGCACCGCTGCCAGCGATGTGTGCAGGTGGGCCAGTGAGGTGTACATGTGAAGCAGTGATGCGTACAAAAGTCCTTGCTGGAAGTGCATAGTATTCAGTAAAGGAGAAACTAGAAATGCATTGTAGTAGGAGTCAGCACCCAATAAGACCCGCCCCAAATCTTATGTGTGTGTGATATATGGACCTGTACATGTTGCGGTCAGGAAATAAAACTTATCTGAAAAGCATGTGCCTCTCCCCTCTTCTCTTCCTCTGCCATCTTGTGCCCTGAACATTCTGTGCCTTTGAACATGTCCGCTTTTTTTTCAGCTTTGGAGTGCTCATGTTGGTGGTCCTCACGGGACGAGAGCCAATCTCGGAAAGTGCTGGAGAGAGCTGGAAGATCACTCCGTGGGTAAGTGCTTATCCCATGGGACCACCGCGTATGCAATTACCTCAACCCATGAAACCACCTTCCGCCACTACCACATGTGTGGTTGTGGTACTTCCTTTCTTTCCTCGTCCATTTTACACTAGTGGTCCTCACAGGGACGTCAGATCACTCTGTGGGTGAGCACCACTTGCCGGTACTTCCAAAGACTCAAATAACATATTCTCCAAAGGAAATATTTCCAGCTTCTTGAATACCATATATGTCCCCTCCCAGTCCCTCCACCTGCTCCACCTTTCAACACTCCCTCCACACCCTGCAAACCCTCCACCCTCTCCAAACTCTCCACCTTCTCCCACCCTCAATCTTCTCAACCCCCTCAGGTGGCGGAGTGCCTGTCCAAGAATGACGTGGGGAGCCTCATGGACCCCACCATGGACGCCCCTGCTGAAGCTGTGCTGCGAGTGGCTCAGATCTCCCTCGCCTGCACTGGAGAGCGCACTGCAGACCGCCCAAGCATGCTGCAGGTTGCCAACGAGCTGCAGGCCATTCGCGAGGCAGTGGGGGGGAAAGAGGTGCTGTGTGCTGCAGTCAAGGTGGATGCGCAGGTGCAGGAGATGAAGGATGTTGTCGCCGGTGTCGCAAGCCTCGACACGGAAATTATGAAGATTGGAGAGCAGGCCTCAGGATAACAGGATGATTCACATTTATAAGACGTGGTCTGAGCTGTGAGTAAATGGGTGTTTCGCCTTTATGACACTCACTATATGGGTCTGTGCCCTTACAAGAGTGTGAATAATCTCTAAGCTGCCTCATAATTGTAGAGGGTGATGATGCACCTCCATATGGGAAAAACGTCAGTCCAGTGTGAGTGTGTGCTGCAACGAGTTAGGCGAAATAAAACGAAAAGAGATCATACTATCAAATGCTGATGTGCAAATTTCTTACTGATGGGGCAACTGATGTGTGTGTGTGTATGTGTGTGTGTGTGTGTGTGTGTATGTGTGTGTGTGTGTGTATGTGTGTCAGGAGTACGACACAATACAAGATTGTTAAGACATATAGACTTATAGAGCACCTTTGATGTTATGTGTTTTCTAGTCAACTTCCATTCTTTCTACAGGCTTGTTACATGAACCTTTTATTTTGCTTACATAAGCACTTGCAAAACATAGCTAGTGTGAAACATGTGCGCGTTTCAAAACTCAGCTCTCGTCGAGTCTAAAGACCCATACAGCAGACACCAAGCTTAGGACCCGCAAAATCTGAAGCTTTCGTTTAGGTCGTGTAATGCTCAATGCGACGGTTGGGTGAGGAAGTCATGCCGCGAGTGCACTGGAAACGCAGCAGGTGCCCCAATCTGAGCAAAGAGTTTGCAGTGTGTGCAGGATCGTGCCAACTTGGTGTGGCCCAACGCCCTGCTGTCCAGCCCGAACCTGAGAGGGGAGTGGGGAGAGGTGGGGAAAAGGAGAGACAGTGACAGGGAGAAGGTGACAGGGGCAGAAGGTGACAGGAAGAAGGTGACAGGGAGAAGGGGACAGGGGCAAAAGGTGACAGGGAGAAGGTGACAGGGAGAAGGTGACAGGGAGAAGGGGACAGGGAGAAGGGGACAGGGAGAAGGTGACAGGTAGAAGGTGACAGGGAGAAGGTGACAGGGAGAAGGTGACAGGGAGAAGGTGACAGGGAGGAGGTGACAGGGAGAAGGTGACAGGGGCAGAAGGTGACTAGGCAAGAATCAGCGTGATACATGTGTTCCCCTGCACCCTGCTGTCCAGCCCACACCGGGGGGGTGGGAGGGAGCAGGAGAGGCAGGTCATGAGGGAAAAACATGCTTTCCAGCCATGCCTAGGCATGCCAATGGCGACCGATCTCACATGTGAAGCATGAAGCCAGACGTTGGTTCTCAGATTCTGCCACAAGGAGATGGTATCTCAGGAAGCATGCAATTGACAGCTGAGCTTTCTCCTTCTGCATCCCAAAATTCGCTCAGCCGAAATCACTTTGAGAATGATGGTGACCCCAGAGTCACCCTCACAAGGAGACCCACAAGTTCACTCTAAAGTTACCTACAGCTTACCCCAGACGGTGGCGACGTCAGCGACAACCGCCAACCGTAGCGCCCAACGTGGTAACAGAACATTCGACCAATCGAATCGGTTTACGGTTTGGGAGAGTACCCCGAGGTTACCCCAACCAACTTCGGCGGGAAAGTTCATGGCCCTGCCTATTTTGTCACTACTTTGAATCTGCCAAGGCAGCCACGTACGGGAATGGTGGGTAAGCCTTTTACTGTACACTTCGTTTCTCAACATGTCGAATTGACAAATTACGATTGTGTCTTCTCCGATTCTGGGTTTACTATCACATCGTTCAACATATGGTAGTTCCAGTGATGGGTTGGGTTACGTGGCACAATCTAGTTCACCAACCAATCGGAGCTCTTCGACAACACCTTCTACTGCCTCTTCTCTCCCAGCACCTTTCAAGTACTTATCCTCATCCATCCTGTTTCTCACTCGTCATTCCTTATGTCGTTTTCAGCTCATGATACTCACGTAGAGCAGTTACAACGAGAGCTCCACGCTGCTTACTTGAACAAGTAGCAGGTTGTCTCGATTAACTATGATGAGCTTCTAATGGTGGTTAGGTTTTGCTTACACATTTAGGAAATAGGCTCCTTCCCCTTTCTACTAGCGATGTCATAGTATTTTAGATGTTGCCGCTGTTTCAATGACTTGCATCTAATCTATCGTAGTTCACGATCGTATCTTCATGGCAGATTATCGAACACGGGAGTGATGCATGATCTTCCCAAGGTCTACGCGTATCGACCTAAGAATTGGCGCTCGTCGTAAGGTGAGTTGAAATGCTGTACGATGGGGTTTCAGGATGAGCGTCGCTCATTCCGCTTGCTTCATGGCATCACTATGTTTTCTATTGCCGCCGTTTTATTTGTCGGCATCCAGGTTTCCCTCATGCCTTCTCGCCATCACACGATTTGTTTCCTTGCAATTCGTTGCCTTCACCGCAAGGTTTTGCAGATGGCGTATCACCAAGACATTAGCTTCCTATCTGGAAAGACTTCTTTTCTCGTGAGCATTCGGTGCATAATAGACACCAGCGGCGTGACAACGTTGTTTCCCAATCCATCCGGGTCCTCTATATGTTTCCTCGTGCACTAATATTTCTCCTGTTCTCACTACTCATTCCTCACTCTTACCCCACCCCCCCCCTGGCTGAATGTCGCCACTCTATGCAGAATACGGAAGGCGATTTTGTCATGCTTTGTCATGTATTCGTGAGGTAAGAACCTGCTATGTCGTTTGTTCCTGCTATCTCGTTTGTTA